AGACGGGGGATCAGAAGTTACATCGTCTTTTAGATTATGAGCTCAAGTTCTTAGTAGAAGGATTGTGGATTTAACAGTTTACTAAATCTGAAGTACTCGTGATTCCCCGATGATGTCGCCGAAGCAAATCTCCGACGATCGAGGATCTTCACATTTCCGGTATCTTCGATTTCTGTTTGATTGTGTAGAAGATGAACTTAATGGAATTGAATTCACATTGCGATGAAATGTGAACTGTAGCTAGGGATTTATCATCACCCTGAATTAGAAATTGCATTTCCTCGATTTTGTTGAAGTTGATGGAGCAACACAATTAGGCTGAATCAGTGATTTTGAGTTGTTAATCTCTTAGTTATACTGTGTTGTGATTCAGTTTATATGGATTCTAGTGAATATATGGTTACGCAGAGAAGTTCAAGATTGAACGTTTGAAAGAATGAATTTGAGCATTCTTGTGGTCTTTTACATCTGTTTTTGTTTCGCCGCTTGATTAGAATTTTGATATTTCTTCATTTGTAATTCATAGTCTTGTGTTATCCCTCTTTATTTGCAGGCATGCCCCTTTCCAGATAATCCATGTCATTGGGAACTTTTTTAGGATATGGTCTGTTTATTCTATGTACCGCTACTTGAATCAGACTGGAGCGCCTGTTGTTCTCTTTCTCTTCTGCTGTCTGGTGCCCTCATCCTTCGTCTTCTTGATCCTTCAGAAACCATGGAAAGGAAGGGCCCTTTCCAATCAGCAGGTTTAGTTAGTCCAGTTAGATACACACATTAAATGGGAGAGTTTACACTAAAGTATTCTGTTTCTCTTCTTTCTACTAATATCTGAGGCGTATTTTATTTCTTTCAGATTGTACCTTCTCTTATCAATGGAGTCATCACTGCTCTGTACTTCATCTTGTGGGGAAAGGGTCTTAAGTCTTGTGGACCTCTTAGGTATTCTAGAGTTATTAAGCATCCACACTACTGTAAATTCTCGAATTTTCTGATCAGTTATGTTATCTTAGGATCGATCATAGATTTTGGCAGCCAAAATGTAGGAAAGTTGAAATTTCCCTCTGAGAAAGATTGTCATACTTATACAGTTTGATTCTATTCTTTCTTTCAGAAATCAACCAATATAATAAATTGAAAATGTGATTCTCCTTGCTAATTCTTTTTGTATATTATTGACAGAGCGATCTTGTCAGAGTACTCTGGTGCTGTTCTTGGAGTGCTTTCTGGAGTACTATATGGGCGGAGAGGCCACGTGTGGAAAAAGGTATTCATCTGAATTTAATAGCTGCCACAAACATATTCCCTCTAGTCAGTGGCACCAGTTAAATAGCATGGTTGCCATAGAGTTTATCCGTAGTGTTATGTTTTTATCCCATCGGCATGCCTCAGTTCACTTGTGTCGCTGAAAAACTATAGAGTTTTGACATGTGCAATAGCTTTTACCAGTTTATGATGTTTCTTCTGGCTTCCATGTACGTTATACACTTAATAATATGTATAGTTCATTACAAAAGATCAATTTTGTGTTTATATATCAACAATTGATGTTTATATATCAGACGACTAGGACCAAATTTCTCTCATATTTCTAAATCATGTCAGGTAGGTGGCCTTGTTGCAATGCTGGTAGCTCTTTTTTTCTTGTCTCAAGGATGGGCGACATCATCTCTCTCCCCATTTTATATCCTTTTTTACCCAAGTTTCTTCTCTTTTATGTACATACCCTCCATCTTGTTTCATTTTGACTTCCTATGGATAGTTCATATGTTGGTTTGTTTAGCTTAACAAAAAACTACCATCGAAAGATAGTACTGATACCAAAGAGGGAGAATTACTGACAGAACAAGCACTAGGACTGATGGGAATGATGATACCCGTTGTTGCTGGAATCTTATCAGCATTAAGGCGAGTTATTGCAAGGCGTGTTTCTCTTAAGGTGCTTTTATCTCAAATTCCCTTTGTTCCTTCCACCAGTTCCTTTGCGCATAACCAATTGTATTCTTTTACAGAACCAGCAAAAGAAACGACTTCATGCGATAACCATTACTTCTGCAACCTGTTTTCTGTTTCCATTGGCCATGTGGGACCTTGTCACAGTAAGTGGTACTGCTTGTTTTGCAGTGACGTTTTCTTATTTAGTTTACTAACATCTTTACTTCAGGGGTCGTCTTCTGGCAAAGCTGTGGAGTTGCCATTTTCTGCGTGGGCTTTCCTTAGCACCATTGTTTTCGGGATCATTTTAATATTTTATGTTGACAATATCGCAGAAGAGAGGTTTCCTTAAAAGCTTTCCCCCTCCTACTAATCTTTTTACACACGCAAACAGAGACTTTATAGATATTATTATATGTTTGTTTGTTTTGTAGATTGCATATGGTGTTTTCTTCCCCGAGGCATCTAATGGTAGCAGGAGCTTGCATAATCGTCATGGAGATTGCTTACGAGATGGATTTTTCTCTTCCTGGTTTCATTGTCTGTTGCTTAGTGTTAGGGTTTGGAATATACGAAGCAACATCTCTAGAACGCAGCAAAAAGGACTCGTCGATTAAATCAGAAGATGAACCAAACGGAATCCTTAGTAATGACTTTGATACTTCTCCAGTTCTTCCCATATAGGTAAGTGACGCTGTTAATCTTTATCTATTTACCAATTCTCACCATATTAACGAGGTTACTTTTGAAATGTTCTTGTCCTTGACGATGTAAAGCTTTTACTCTGAACTTTTGTACCTTTTTCATTATATCTTTGTTTTTTTTACGCTAGCAATTCATTCAAAATTATCCTCACAAGTCAAACAGTCTAGCAATAAAAACACAAACCAGTAGGCATCCGTAAATTAATTTCATACACAGAAAGGTAAAAAGCAAAGGAGAGTCATGAGATTGTAAGAGCATTATATCTTTCTTTACGCTTGTTATTCATTCAAAAGCTTTGTTCGGGAATTCGCTATGCTATCTGTTTGGAAATCTAGGGCCTAGCGATTTAGAAAAAATCGAGAATTACTCAGGGTGTAATTTTTAATTAATTATAAGTAATTAAAATGCAAAAGTTTATGAATTACCAAGTTAAATCATATAATACAGATTTGTTATCCTCGCTGACATATATATGATATTTATGCATGCACAATTGCAAATTTAGAGAATGAGCACATATTACAAAATTTATTTTACAAAAAAACACATAATTTATTCATAACAAATTATATTTAGAAAGCCTTTTGTATTATAATAGATACTAGATTTTGATCCGTGCCTCAAAAGCGCGGATATATTTTTACCATTTTAATAAAATTTATTCGAATTAATTATTTAAACTAAAAAATGGTTCTATTAATATTTAAAAATATTCTAGTATAATGTTGATTTTCACGTAGTGGTTTCATATCTGATCCAGACCCATAGTTGAACCGGTGCATCCCATAATGAAAATTTATTAATTAAAATTTTGATAAAACTCGGTAAATATCCTAAAAATCGCTATTAATCTGCATTATGATATTCATTGATTTGCTTAGAATCCCATAAAACTGATAATATTTTTTTTAAAAAAATTAGTTAAATAACTCATACTTTTAATACTAAAGAAAATTAATTTGTTTTTGTAATTTCTTCAATGAAAACTTTCTTGTAATTTTGTTAAAAAAATGAAACAATGCTATAAAAAAAATTATTTATAACAATATTAATTTCTTTTCGTTATTAATTACCTACGATAAGTTTACATTTTTTTCTTATTTTATATCTAAAAGTATAAAAAAACATATCAATATAATTGATAAAATGACATAGTAAATAATATTTTTTAATTTTTGATCACTAAATACTATTATGCACGAAAATAAGATATTAAAATTAAATAGAAAGTATAATTTTCATTAAAGAAAATTATTATTAACCACAAAACTAGAAAAAAATTATCAGTTACCATAAATATATAAAATATTTAGTTGTTTAGTTAATTAAAATTTTAAAAATAAAGAATGGTATTATCTTATAAATATGATGAAAACCCAATAGCAGATTCGAAATTTTTTTAATAGGATCCTGGTTTAATATTACAGATTGGACATAATAGAAATCTGGTAAAAAGTATAAGCCCATATAACAAAAACATAAAATTTCTTAAAAATACACAAACTGATTTTAATTTGCTAAAAAATACACGAACTATTAAAACTTCCCAGTTAATATACAAACTACTTTTGGTTTCCCAATAAATACATGAACTTTTGAAATTTTGAGGTTTTACACTTTAATTTTGACAATGTTAACTCTGTTAAATGGAGGATTATAACGACGTCTAATATTTAATTGGTAAAATTCATTAAAAAGACGCAAATTTACTTTTTATTTGCTAAAAAATACATGAACTATTAATGTTTCCCAGTTAATACACAGACTAATCTTGGTTGCCTGATAAATACACAAACTTTGAAATTCATAAGTTTACACATCGATTTTGACGACGTGTATAATTCCATTTTGTCAAAGATTCGGTATGAGGCTGATCATACACTATTTATTCTTCATAAGCAACAATGTATTGTAATCATTCTTGCGTATAATGATATCATCAGTCACATAGAGTGACAAGGAAAGTATTTAGTTCACTAAAACGTTCAATAACTAGATGAGCTAAAGTAATTTCTATAGATTGATTATGTCGATCAAAAGATGGGATTTTCTTATCCCAAAAAATACACAATTTGAAAAGAGATCAATGCTCAGAAGTCGATTTCGAGTTAGACTAAAGAAATTAGTTCGATCACGACTAGAAGTACCAAGTCATAATGATATTCTGTAGAGTGACTGGAAAATGCAACTAATAAAAAAGGTTCCCCAGAGGTCTCAGGATCTATAAAATATGAAATTGAAATTCATAAGTTTACACCTCGATTTGACGACGTGTATAATTCAATTTTGTTACGAATTCGGTATGAGGCTGATCAAACACTCTTCATTCTTCATAAGCAACAAGGTATTGTAATCATTCTTGTGTATAATGATATCATCATTCACATGGAGTGACAAGGAAAGTATTTAGTCCACAAAAACTTTCAATAACTATATGAGCTAAAGTATTTAGTCCCCGAACTTTGAAATTCATAGGTTTACACCTCGATTTTGACGAAGTGTATAATTCAATTTTGTTAGGAATTCGGTATGAGGCTGATCATACACTCTTCATCTTCATAAGCAACAAGGTACTGTAATCATTCTAGTGTATAATGATATCATCATTCACATGGAGTGACAAGGAAAGTTTGTCCACTACAACGTTCAATAACTAGATGAGCTAAAGTAATTTCTATAGATTGATCATGCAAACCAAAAGATGAGATTTTCTTATCCCAAAAAAAGTACACGATTTGAAAGGAGATCAGTTCTCAGAAGTCGATATCGAGTTAAGACTAAAGAAATTAGTTTGATCACGACTAGAAGTACCGAGTCATAATGATATTCTGTAGAGTGATTGGAAAATGCAACTAATAAAAAAGGTTCCCCAGAGGTCTCGGGATCTATAAAAGATGAAAGAGAAGATCACAGATGCTCGGCCAATAAGTATGATTAAAACATGATCGAGGTGTAAGACCTTTGAATTTCAAAAATTCATGTATTTATAGGAGAACCAAAATTAATCTGTATATTAATTGCGAAGTCTTAATAGTTCATGTATTATTTTAGCAAATCAAAATTAATTTTTATGTTTAAAGAATTCTCGATATAAATATTAAACTCTGTTATAACCCTCCGTTAAACACTTAACGTTGTTAAAATCAAAGCGTAAAACCTCCAAATTTAAAAAGTTAATGTATTTATTGGAAAACCAAACTTAGTATATGTATTAATTAGGAAACCTTAATAGTTCATATATTTTTTATAGCAAATTACAATTAGTTTGTGTATTTTTAAGGAATTTTTCCTAACAAAAACTGTAAAGTAAAACCTAGCAAAAATAATCACGCCACTTTCTTCCTCCATATCTTTCCCTTCACCATTGTTATCTTCTAAGTTAAAAACTGCGAAAAACAGTCAGACATCTCTGTTTTCTCCGTTCAGCAATCTTTTATTCATGCTACGATTCCAGATCCGTCGAAGCTTGGTTTCTTGTGTACACATGCAATGTAGGTTATTTTCTCCCAAACAATTTTCAAATTCAACGGCCGCCTAACATAAAACAACGGACTCGTCGACACAACTCGAACTGGCGTAGAATGCAACCGTGTTGGCTCAACTCGCCACGGTGAGCTTACGATTCAAGAGTACGCGGCCGATTATACGGCTACTCGGCCGCTTTTTAGAAGAAGGTTCAAAAGTATCCTTACAAGTCAAACAGTCTAGCAATAAAAACACAAACAAGTAGGCAATTAAGGGGTGGACATGGAATTAATATCAAGAGATCTGGAGATATTCGTGATCCGATCCGCTTCATTCGAATAATCAATTATCTAATTCGATCTGCAGCTATCTGGATATCTGAATTTTTTTTTAATTTTTACAGATATCCGATTCGATCTGTAAAATAAAATAAAAATAAAAAATGAATAAATATGGAAAATAATATTATTTTCTTAAAAAATATTATTTAATTTATAAAATTCTAATAACTAAAATAATTAAATTAATAAATAAAGATATTGTAAAAATAATATAAAATATAATATTTATATAACTTCTATATGTACTTTAAATATATGTATATATATATGCATATAAAGGATCAGATCAGATATTTGTTCTTACAAATATTAGTATTTGTGATTTACTTTGGTTCTAACGGATATTGCATTTTAGAATATGCTTTTCGTCGTAGAGTTACGGATATCTGAAATTTTGGGTTTGAATCAAAATTGATAACTAATCGAATCAAAATTTACGGATATTTTACTCAGCCCTAGTAGGCATCCGTGAATTAATTCCATACACAGATAGGAAATCGTAAAGCAAAGGAAAATCATGAGGTTGTAAGAGCATTTACAATTCCATTTCATGTTTAACTCCAAAATGAAGTTTAGAATAAGAAATATTTCTAAACGTACTCCAGGTTTCACTCCATAATAAAATAAACAATGGAGTTACTCCATAAATGAAGTAATAATATATTTTTATTACTCTATTTTCACTATAAAATGAAGTGGAGTTAGCAAAATTCAACTTCATTTTGAAGGGAAAATTGAGTTTTACATTGCAAATGCTTTTCAACCTCTCACGTTGACTCCCAACTACGGCGGAAATAACACAACCAACCAATTAAGGTCCTTGTTTGATACATCTGATGCTCACGACAAGAGACAATATATTTCTCCTCCCAAACTGATGAGAGAACACCTCTTTCATCACCAGGGCTAAGATCTATTGATCTGCATAGAAAAGATAGTGTGCCACACATGCAACAAAGCTCCAACCCGGACCCACACTCGAGCTTGACCTAACCACAGAGCCGTGCCTCAGTGGGAAGAAATGAAACATTTGCTTAGAGCATTTTCAAAAGACACTCTATAACTTCAAATATGAAGTTTTTGGTTCTCCAAAAAAGAACTCTAGAACTTCAAATTTGAAGTTTTAAGTAGTGAAACTTCAAATATAGAGTGTCACTATTCAAAACTTTAAATTTGAAGTTTCATATTTGTATTTGCATTTTGGTCCTTACAATTATACATTATATATATAATATATTTTATGGTTTGTCATTTTAACCCTAAAAATTTCTATCTCATAAATATTTCAATTTTTTTATAAATCTTAAATTTCACATTAAAAAAAAAATCAACGAG